TCCAAGTATGTCTAATGATGTTTTAGCAAAAAATATTTCACTCACATTTAAAATCAAGTAAAGGACATATCCATTTCCTCAGGCTACAGAGCTTAATCAGTTAAAATTTATGGAGTTTTGCCTTTGATGGGGAAGAGAGAATTAAGCAGCACCTTGGGATAGTGGTCATGGGTTATTATACCAACATCCTCAAATATAAATCTACGCAGTACTTTGCCTGAATTGATATACAACAAAATTGCTATATATTCATATGATTCAATTTAATGTTGCTTCAGGTTAAAACAAGCCACACTTTCATGTATTTGCACACAATTCCCACAGCTGTAGTTTCTACAGTACATTTATGCATAGCCTAAATCACTCGCGTGCATAAAGATTTATGGAAAGTAGGGGTGYTGCAGATAGATAATAAGACACCTTTTTTCTTTTAATTTTCATAGAGCACACCCATTTACACTTTGCAATGTAACATTAAAAAACAATTTCATATCAATATTACAAAAATTAACTTTTTAATATAGTTAAAAGTGCAAACACTATTGAAAATGGATTCTGATAAAATATTTTATATAAATTCTTCTCTAGAGAACTGTGGTAATGTAAGGGAAAATGTGTGTGCATAGAAGGTTGTTAAACGAAAGGCAAAATCATCCTTCCAATGACTATTAAGAAGCCACTGATTTCTTAATTTTCAATCTGCTATTAAGTTTCAAACAAGTGTTCCAGTTCAGTGGGAAGGGAAAATGCAACATTTATTTCCACCATTTTTGATTTTGTTTTGCTTATTTTTAACACTACGCTCTAAGCACAAGTCTGAGCTTGGCATGCAGTCAGTACAAAGTCAGACTGTTTGGCCCTGCACAAATTCTCAAAGTCACAGTTACAAGGGGGATCTTTGCTTTGCTAACATGTGGATGAACATGGCTGAAGAACAAAAAAATATGCAACTGAGGGCATGTTTGAGTTGCCAGGATCAGTAGAAGAAAGCAGGGGGCTGTGCTCTTTTTATCACCACCAGCTCAAAATAAAAGCAGGCAAGGCACAGAAATATATACCATAAGACAYAGGATATGAACTCTGCCAGTGATCCAGAAAGTGCTGCCATTATCCCAACGCGGGAGCAGGGAAGAACATTAAGACTTATAGCTGACATGGAACTAATCTGTAGCCTATTACTCTGAATGAAGCTGTAAATTTTGAGAAGCATTTGATCMCTGTGGAAATGATGGATGCTGAAACAGGGAACTAGTTGCTCTACCCCCATAGACTCTGCACAAGGACATCTGTACATTTGAGGCAAGTTCTGCTCATACCTGCAAAACCAWAAAGGTTATCATTACCACTAGATGTGCCTTTTTCTATTTTAAAAAAAAAATTCTACAACAGTAACTCAATAACTTACACATGCCACTGATTTTTATTTTATATTTTAAAGTAGGTTCAAGCCAAAAGTAAATAATTGTAAGTAAGTTGAGTTCTTGAAATACACCAACTTTAGGCAATGTTACTTCTGCATTCATGCTATCTGTGAATTAGGCAGTTAAGACTTGTGTCAGTCTACAGGACACATGGCATGACAGCCTAAACAAGCAGTGGCAGCAATTCATGCCCTCTGCTCCTGTCCTGCTGCCCAACCAACAGCACAGACATGCACCAAGTGTCAATAAACTGAACTCCAGCTGCCCTACTGGCAAGTTAGCYACAGCTGGATGTGCCAAGTTCCTTTCACTGCAGGGTCTGCTCTGGACAGTGACAACAACAAATTGATGCAACATGTAAGCAGTACTGAATACTGCTTCATCACCCATCCTTATTACCTCATGTTATTCACTGAGGATGCTAATTTGTAGCAATTATTATTTGGTAAAAMGGTATGACTGGAAAGCAGATTAAGCACTCAAAGGTTCCTGGGCTTAAATATATATAAAACTGAGAARATAAACATCAGTGTTAAATGCATTTCCATTGTGAACCTGTGTAATTATAGACTAATGTTTACTTAGAGATTTGCCTCTTGTKTATATATCAGCCCTCATCAAAGCAGGAAGACCCTTACTATCCCATTTCACTGGCTCCCTAATTTAATGAATTTATTATTCTCACATAAGGTTCACAATCCATAGTAATATCTGGATTTTCTTCTGTTTATAATGTTCTGTTAACCACTTTGACAATCCTTTAGATGGCAATGTCATTAAGTGATTCTCACTTTGGTAACCTTATGGCAATGGATGCATTATACACATTCCAGGGTGAAATAGATTGCTTCCTAAATGAGTAGTAATGCAGTTTTCCCATTTATGCCCTGTATCAGACCAGTTCTGTTGTCCACTGAATTTGTGATGTCCTTCTGGGTCTCTAGACTCAATCTTTGGGTGATTTCACAGATCTGTGGAGACACTTGATTCAGAGACAACTTGGTTTAAAAAGAAAGAAACTGCATTTAAATCATGTGTCTTAAGGTCCCAGAGCTCTCTTCCTTCCTCTCTTCCGAATTCTGTGGTTTTTTTCTGTTCATCATGTTAGATTTACTTTTGAAGGACTGGCAGAACTTGAGAACAACAAAGCAGTAGGTGGACAGCATCCCATGACTATTGGGAAAATAGGGCTTAGCACTTTTCAGAGAATGAACACCCCTTTTTTACCAAATTTGCTGGAAGATGAAGTCAGCACTTCCCTTGTTACCTTTTTTTTTTTTTTTTTCAGGAAACAGTGCACTGAAAGCCTCAGTATTGGATACACAGTTGCACGCTGGGATGAGAAGTTACTATTGGTCATGACTGCAGTTAAGTAAGAATCATTTTTTTTTTTTTTTTTTTCAGGAAACAGTGCACTGAAAGCCTCAGTATTGGATACACAGTTGCACGCTGGGATGAGAAGTTACTATTGGTCATGACTGCAGTTAAGTAAGAATCAAGCAAAAAAACCCCAAGAAAWAACTTTGCTTTCCTAAAAATCCATCCTGGAACATGAATTATATGAATGCTCTATTTAATGCAAATTTTTATATACCAAACTATTGGGATTTTATTTGTATTCGAAGCACTTTATATTACAGTTACTTCACTTGAGATTTTTATGTTTCTGTTCTGTTTCCTCTTCCAGACAGTAGCTTCTTACTTACACTCTTCCAAAAGGTGGAAGGCCAAACATAGTACTTCTCTGCTTGCTAGAGAATGACTGTAAAAGGTCCTAGCTTTCATCTTCCTCTGTTTTGTTCCTTGCCAAGCTGTGTGCAAGGAATTTTACTTCATCTATTGTTWTTTATAAAACAATATGGTGCAGATCTTTCACAGTCCCTCCAGTCTCTTACATGACTCAAGTAGTASATTTACCTTCACATATGTGACTCCAATCAGACTGATTATTACCCTTTTTATTTTTTACTTTTATAACACAAGGGGCATTTTCAACATCTACCTTCTATAGGCAACAAYTTGAACAATTTAAAAGGCATATTTGTATCCAATTTTTATTTTATTTTTGCACACAATTTTATTTTAGTTTGTAGTCACCATGACTTAGTATCTCATATATATTCTCAAAGGATTGCTTCTGGGTGTCAAGAACAGATTGKGTACAGAATCTGAAGCATGAGTTATCTGGAAGATCTGAATATGCTCTCACACACACTCCCATTGCCTAATTTTACACAGAATGCTCGAGAGAATGCTTTCTTGTGAATTCTGTGGGAGCTGGAAGTAAACCTTTCTAAAGATGATTCACTGAAGTTGAACATTCATTTCTCTAGTACATTAAATATATATTTTGACTCGAGTCCATAAACTCAAACATTTTTGAGGAGCATTTTCATTCTTAAAAGAAGATCTAATCCATTAGTCTTCATCAAAACAGTGGAACAGAAGAGCAAAATAACCTATTGCTGGCTGGGTCATGGAGTAGTGTTATAATTCTGCCTTAAGACCTTTCTCAAATTAATTCATATCMATTCTTATCCTGCATTAATAACTGTCTTTCCTTACATACTGTTAGAGGAATACACACATTTAGTGTTACATTAAAATATCCCATTAAGATGACAATAAAAATCAACAATACAAAATCTAAGACCAATCTGGAACATTTCACAGAAAACAAAACCCTGCAAGATAACAAAAAGGTACTTTGAAACTAGATATTAAATTAATCAGTTTCTCTTAATTTTGTACAAAATCTGATCCAACAAAGCACACAAACCTATTACTGAAGTTATCTTAATGTCAGGCCTAAAAGTTTCTCCATCAACACTGGGATTTGAAAAAAATAAAATAGATWAAGATTGAGTGTATCAATGRAGAATTAAAAGGAAAAAGAAGACCTTTTTTTTTTGAGACTTAAGACCCACACAGATTTTCTCTTGAATCCTCACTAAAACATGACTTGATTTTCAGCTGCAATAACCCTTCAATCTTCCACCTGCAAATGCTGTCCTGCTATTGAAAGAACATTTTACTTTTTGCTTCACTCTCCTGCAAGATTTCCTGCACAGCACTGATGGGTAGAGAACCATAACCTTACACTCTTCAAGCATTTATAAAGATCCACTGCAAGACTTTGATTGCCTGTGTTTGTCATTGTCAATGAAGAAATAAACAGCTTGTGTTAGGAATGTTACCTTTGTCCAGTGTAGTTTTACAATCATTTATATTCTACAGAAGAAATTACTTTTGTGATTGCTCATTTTCCTTTATATTTTAGACAAACAAAAATTGTGCAGCAATACTTTCTGCTCATTTTTCCATTATTCCCCCTTTTCCTCAGCTATGATTTCAATACAATGGGCCTTCACAAAAACAAACAAAAAAACAACAAACTTTGTTCAGCTCCAATAAAAAGGATACTGCCAGAGGAGGCTGACCATTGCCCCCAGCACTGCAGCTCCTCTGCAGAACTGGCTCCCTGATGTTAGTGTTAAAGAAACAAAAGCAAGAAACAGAGATGGTRCAGATGGGCTTAGGCTAAAAAGCTGACCTATGTGTCACCCCACCCCTTCTTACCCAGATCCATGCTTTTTGAGGCTTTCAGATTAATTGATTCAGACTGCTTGGCGGGTGTCAAAGATCTGAAGCTGATGTGCTGATCTCTTAAATGCACTGCTGAATTTATTATAGGGCTGTAGGGAGAAAAAAAAAGTTATGTTAAACATTARGGTACCTGTTCAAACCACAAGTGAACTAATTAAAGAATGCACCAATATACATTTTTTGTTTCTTTCTCCAGTTGCTTACAGCATGCATTTTTAAAATCAGATACTGATCCTCAACTTCCTTTTCTGAGACTTAACACCTTTACTCACTTGGTTTTTCTTTACAGATGGAAATATAAATGTAAATGATTAGTAATAATTTTCGTTTTGCTAGTTCTATGAAATCACTGCATTTCAGAATGCCATGCTACAGAATGTTTGAGAAATACTGACAATGTAGCTGGATCAATTCTACTTCACCTGCTAATAGTGATTATTCTACAGCCTTGCACCACTTACACAGAGACTGGAGGTCTTTTGGAGCATGCTATGACTGAAGAATTCCAGGTATTGTGGTTTGGCTGCTTTGGTTTTTATTTTGTTTTGGTCTTTTTTTCATTCTTTTACTTCAAGGCAAATTTCTAAACATTTCAAAATTGCACCTGAGCGAAACTCCAAGTAACTTTCAGTTCAAAATGCAACATCTCAATGCAATCTGAAATTKTATGTGTTTCTTTTTGATTAGGAACATAAATTATTATTTTTTAAAGTACCCCTAAGCAAAAAAAAGCAGTTAGAAAAAGAAAAATATTTATTTCCAAATTGTTTAAACAAAAGGTTTAGTTTTACGTGTCAAAATATTTTCCTAAGTGTTTTGCTGAAATTCAGTTTTCAGTGAAATCAGTGTGACTTGATACAGCAATTCAATTTCAATAGAACTTAAGTATTAAATGGAAGAACAATACAATACTGGAAAAGTCAGGGTGGGAGAAAGGGCCTGTAAATTAATCATCATTTTAACACATCATTAGCATTTRAGAGAATGTTTTTCTCCCAGCTTGCTGGAAAAATTAGAAACAGTTTCTAACAAACAACTGCAGTTGAGAAGTCAATGCTGAATTGCATTAATCTGTGCAGACTTGCTTGTTTATCATGTCATACATACCTGCCTGGGACACCAGGCAGAAATAACAAAATTATTCTAGTGTAATTACCCTGTGTTAGCAAAAAGAAAATAGGTATGAAAGTCTTGTATGAGGAATTCAAGGTATCCATAATCAAATATATCWACTTTTTGATATTAAACGCAACCAATCATTTAAGGGTAGTTTTTACTCACATCCATGCACACAAGGACAGACACATGGCTAAATTTTTAGCTGAAATGCATATTTTCTTAGTATCACTGCATGAGATGCATGACTACCAAAATTGAATACACAGAAAATGAGGAAACTATGCTCAACGCTGCATTTCAGCAGCTTCATCAGAATTGGTTGCATTCATCGTCATCAGGATAGGTGAAATTATGCCTTTGATTTGAATCCTGTGCTACTTAAAAGAGAGAGTATAAGCCATTGTGAACTTCAACATGTTTACACTTTTTTCTGCACATCCAAGCTTCTGTATTTATGAAGGAAATTATATCTTGTAGCTGCTATCAAGCACACTGGCCTTCACAAAAGTATCTGAAAAATCTACCCACTACCTTTACGGCTGGTAAAGTGTTCATTAATTTTCTCCTACCCATTTCAATGTTCAGACTTACTGAAAATTCATTTTGTAACCTCAAGAATATCTTTGGGTGACACAAGAAAATTCAGTTTCTTACAAACTATGTTTGGCTTGAACTTTTTAAAGCTTTAAGAGATTCACATTGCATTTACACACTGAACCCATGGTACAGTTTAAAAYGAACTTTTTCTTTTAACTGGGATTATGCATTGGGCTTCTTTTKGTTTCACAGAACACATGACAGGTATCATATATCCTGGATAGCAGGCATACTGCAGCTTGTGTACARCTGAAATGAACAATACACTAAATGCTAAAACAATATTCACAGTTTATATTAAAAGATCTTCCAGGTGACTAAAGAGAGTGGTACAAATTTTTAAGAAAATAAAAGGTGATTTWATAATCAATTAGAACTATTACCACAGCCACTTCTGAGCAATTAGTGCTGCAATTATTAAGAAGAACTGAAGTCCAACCTGTTATAATCCTCATTCAGCATATCCTCACTGGGATGTGGRGGGAGAGGGGGAGGGGTTTCATTTTCACCATGGCCACGATCAGAAACTGGAAACTCTGAAATAAAATTKAGAAAGGGGTTAAATAACCTGCAGAAACAACTACATTACACCAGTTCACTGACTGATGACTAGAAGGCCCCAAGCAATGCTGAAGTAAATCACAAATTATTCAAATCCCTAAACTAACTAAACTAGAATTAAAATCACACCAAGCAGAAAATACACCCCTTGGGATTTCCTGAAGAGCTGATTTTCAGATTTGCATATATATAATTAAAGGTAAATATAGGGAAACTTTGTATTTATAGTGATGTTGAGTGCAGGGCACAAATTGCTTTACTCCATTTTCATGGAGTGCTTTACTCCATTTTTAACTTCTCCACAGCTGCATCCAAACTGATTGTAGGTTCATGCTTTCAGTCCCTTTGATGGGGAGCATTTATCACCTTTCATGTACAGAAGAGAACCGCATTTTCAGCAAAGAGCTCAGAAGAAGAAAAATTTCTGTTATCCTATGGCAAGAGAAYAGAAGCATTTCTTAATTACAGTCTTCACTTTCCTACCATTACGGTAACTCCTTCTTTACCTTTACAAGCAGCATTCAGCTAACACTAGAAAATTACTTTTCACAAAGACAAATATGAATTACTCGAACCATTCAGTGGTTTGCTAAGCACCAATGCTTAAATACCTGCAATATTAAATAAGACTGCTGTGCTCACTGTAAGCCAGTTCATTATTGTCCTGTAAATTCACATTTCAAGCCAACAGTCTCATCTTACAAAAAGCCCCTGCATTTTTTATTATAGAATATGTCTTCACCCCACAAAACTTAACAGGAMACATGGACACTTTGTTGGGTTTCAATGGCAGGTAAGCAATCTAACAATAATGACATACCACACTTTCACATGACCTGTTCTGTTGCATGGAATTCTGGCAATCTTTTTTTCACAATCCTGTGTGAAACCACTAACCTAATTTGTGACAAAAAGGGTCTGAAAGGAGGGATCAAAAGAGAAAGCAATAGATTATATTTATTTGATAAAAGCACTGATATAGCAAAGAAAAAAAAATACTGGVGGAAAAAGAAAAATAACAAAAAACTCCCAAAAAACCCAAACAAAAATCAACCCAACCAAACCCACACTATTCGTTCAAGAATCCTGTAAAATTCCCATTGGCTGGATAGCCTCCTATAGATGAGATTAAGAAGTAGCTTGAACCCTGTATCTCAGGAAAGGTGTGAGCATCATCACCAATAGGTGAGAATAAGCAGATGAGGAGAAAAGTTTTAATGGGACCTTATAAAATGATTGCCAGTCTGATGYAAAAACGAGGTATGCTACTTAACAYRTGCACACTGGTTTCTTGCACTGTGATCCCATTCTTTCAGGTTTGAATATAAGAACAGGGAAGAAATGAGAAGTAAAAGGGAAGTTCTCGCAGGAAAAAAGAATTTACAACAAAAGGGGAACTCACACTGTTCAATGTAATACTAATTGTACAACCAAAAGGAAGGASATTATGAAGTTCTGCAAAAATATTGCAGGACATTAAGTAAGAAATGCAGGTGAAATTCCCTGAAATTAATTAAAAACATACCTATTTAAAATGGTTTTTTGACTGAGCTGCAAACTAATCATCCTGATTTTTGGATTGCAGTTGTAGAATCTTTATTGCTCTGGAACAATACACTAGATGTGCACTGGATTGCCCTTTGAATRCATGCTTAGTGAAGTCAGAAGGAACCAGTCATTTACAAGATCAAAAAAGTCCAAGCACTCAACGAGAACTCAGGAGTCACTGGTGTGCCTCATTTTTAAATAGTGTCTCAGGTTTCACTTTTCCTATCTAAAAAAACGATGTAATATAATCCAGAAACATATTGAAAAGGTAGCAAGGATAGTTGGACACAGATAGAAACTCTCCTACAAGGATCAGGGACTAGGATTCTTTAGTTTAGAGAAAGAAGAAATAAAAGGGGACACAGAAGGAGTCTATGAAATTGTAGACTCTTTGTATAAGGTGAAAAGGAAACTCTCACTGTCTCACACACAGTAACAARAAGGCAACTAGTTTAACAAGTAGCATACTTAGGAGAAACATAAAGAAAAGAAAAGTTGTGTTTTTCACAGAACTCATTGCTYTGARGATGCTTTGGAAACAARATTTTTWAAAAAATTAAGAAATGTACCAAAAGTTAGACATGTATACCATGGTCTAGATAGAACCTGTGACTTAGTAAGTCCCTATACCACTGACTAGCCAAAGTAGGAAAGAGATGCCTGGTGGAAAAAAATTTAAAAACTGGAAAAATWAYACCACACTTASACTGTGGTTTGCCYTTCTGAGCAGACTCTTACAGCCATAGGAAGAGACTGAGCACATCATGCAGTTATACTAACTCAGATTCACAGTAATTGGGACCTCATTTCACCAAAGCTGTTTGATCATGGGTTACCACTGGTATTTTTCTTGCAGTAAAAAAATTACACACACAGAAAGACGTCAGACTTCCTTAGTGAATTGGAAATGATCACTGGGGACTACAGCTCTCAGCAAAATGGGAGCAGGARCTAGAGAGTGAGAGAATTTAACCTAAGGGGCAGTCACTGGATCCATATTCAAGACCTCAGGAAACGACCTTAACATATCCAGATAAATCTAAGCACTGAACAAAATTTATTGAATTTTCAGATATTAAACAGACTAAGAGAAAGGCAGACTAAAAAACAGAAAGGCAGACTGAAAAAGAGAAAGGCAGACTAAAAACTGGGTCTGGCTATAAAACACATGCAACATTTACAAGGAAAATCTAAATAATTAGAAGTTTCACGTCTTAATTTTCTACCTTGATGTTACCACAAATGTATGAAAACAGAGGTGCTTGTACAACCAYAAGGATTCAGCAGTCTCTGGTAGCAGAGAAAGTTTGATTATTTTACTACTTAACCAGAGAAATAACAGTATTTTCCCTATAACTGCTTATAATGTAGGGTTGTAAGAAATATATCAGAACCTCTAATGAAACACATTCCAATAATCTTTCAGCACCARAAATGCAAAGCTTCTGGCACTGAAGTATCAACTCTCAAAGAGGTTGTTCTAAAAAACACTGTGCAACAGCTTGGCAGCAAAAGAAGTGAGGACCTGAAGGCAGCAAGTATTATTCATGCAAAAAATAGAACAAACACTGGCATTTCAATAYTGGATCACTACCCCCTCACCCTTTATTTAAATACCCACAGGCAAGACAAAAYATAATGTTTTGGCTATACGCACTTTTCCCTAGACATTAGTTTTTCTTGCTCATGTATAATAAAAAAAGACTCTAAAAACAGACAGAAATATTASCAGGCTGAGCTTCAGTGTATTTTTGTTGAGCTTTTGTAAGAATTTTATTTGTAGGAGCAGTGAATGGTACTAGAAATAACTTATTAGAAAATATTAATTAAGAAAGTGACATTTCATGAAACATAATACAGCTCCTGCATTAAATTTTTACATTAGATCCTGTATCATGTTAAAAATATCTTCTGTGTTTTATTAATTCTTTGCAAAAATGTACCAACTGCACTTCCACATTCAAGATGTGGATAGTGCACTGTAAACATCCATAAAGATCTGTTCCTGCCTGGCRCAAGAAGCCCACTAGGTCTGTGACTCATATCCCTAAACAGACACAAAACCTAAAGTTTGTAACTGAGGTACAAGAGGGTTGTGCACAGGCAAAGTGTTCCACCCTTASAGATGCCTTGAAACACTGAGGACAAAACTTTGTGAAAAACAATGCAAAAAAAAATTTGAACCAGTGATGGGAGGAAATAAGTGACAGGCTTATATGGAAAGAAGAATGAGCATTAGCTCAAAACCAATTAATACTATGATTTCAAAATAAGAGGAATATTTCTGCAATGTCCAAGGCTAGTGTAAGCCCAAAGTGTCTTTCACCAAAACAACTTCTTATCAGAACTGTCCCACAGCCCTCCCGCTGCAGCTGCCTGTGCAGTTCTCCATTGAGATCACTGAAATTTTACTCATCAAATGCCAAGTCTTCAACAGAAATTGCAATACAGTGATTCCTTGAATAAGTGGTACCAACATCTTCATCATGTCTTGTCCCCCTGACTCCAATTCCAATCACTTCCCAGGCCATGGCTGTGAAGAGCCAGCCACACCAAACCCTCCTGTACCAGCAGCACTCCAAAGCTTCCTTTCCACATCTGACACATTTTCTTCTGAGGCCATCACATTTCTTTTGCTATAATGTCTTCTTACCATAATACTTTAATTAAAAAGATATCTATTTAAAATKATTTTTTTGACTGAGYTGCAAACTAATCATCCTGATTTTTGGATTGCAGTTGTAGAATCTTTATCTGAAAGTAAAATTCTTCCACATCGTTTTGAATTTCAGAGACAAGTTAGCAGTYGCCATTCAACTGCATCAATGGTTCCAGAGCATTTGCTTTTATGATGCTTAAGGAAGCATTTAAAGCTATTTGCTGCTTTCTGATATTTCTTTGGTAATGACTAACCCTATAGAGAAGGCTAGTTCCAAGGATGGACACTTTTCTCCTGAAACTACAAAATGTAAATTCCATACAAGAGAAACGTAAGGCAGATCTAAACAAAAGGATCTGARCTTTGAATATTTACAATGCTTCAGACTATAGCGAATTCTTTGCCTGGAGATGCACCRTCAAAATATTGAAGTCAACACAAATAATTCACCCCTAAATTTTATGGGAGTTTCTCTTGAGTTTTAAAGATAAAGTCTCTTTGCTTTTGATTAAAAGTACCCCACACAGCCATCACAGCAACCTATGAAACTACTTTTTGCAGGCTACCCTGATTCCACAGTTGTCTAGGAAAGTGGAAAAAATCATGCATAATTCAACTACATCAAAGAAAACATTTTTTTTTTTTTTCCTACTGAAAGGTATTTAAGTATGTGCTTGGCTTGAAGAATGAGAGCACACTTAAAAGGATAGGGGTCARGACCATCTCAAATACCTAAACTTTTCAAGTATTAAGCACCTTACTAAGTCGGGAGCAAATTGGACAGATAGTACAGTATGCCATTGGAAATGAAAAAAGACAGGAAAAGAAGTGGCCTTAAATGCTCTTACTGATATGCTTCCATATGCTCGCACATGTAGGTTTTCTTTGCACAATTTATACAATTACCTAATTCTTTTTAATGAGTTCATTAATATAATTCCAATTAATTATAAATTAAGAGAATGTTTCTAACCTTTGAACAAATTTTACCTTAAAGTCTAAAATAAGCAAGTGAACTTTTTGAACATCATGTTTTAGTATAAATTAATTAAGCTTATAATAACCTAGGACATAATCTTAAAATTAAACRCAAAAATCATTGCACTCATTAAAGATATATAGAAAATAAACATTTTGACAACATATATTTTGCACTCATCATTTGTTTTTTATCCAGCCTTACGTGTTGGGGCAGCGAGCTAGAAACTGTTACTTAAACTGGAATTTGTGCCAGGAATCTCATTCACAACTTCTGAGTCAGCTCTCCCACCCTTGCTGGATCTTCAAGCCTCRAAATAACAAAGTGTGCACTTACTCTAATTAACTGCTTTTCATGGCTCTGGATTTCACCAAACAAAACCACGAAGCCCTCTCTCTCAGCACAGAGAAGGAGATCTAGAGACTGACTACCTTTTGTTCCTTCCTGAGAACTGCACGTCACAAACTGCTGAAGAATGGCATCMTTGCGTCGGGAAGCAGCTGCCAAGTTATGACTCCTGTCAAAGGCTGATTTCTGAAAGGCTCCCTGGTCTGAGCGTTCCTACGGGAGAAACAGAACCACACATTGCAACACCAAATTTACATATTCAACAATGAGAAGAGCATCCAGCACCGCAGACAGTGCATGGACACAGTGTGATATATTGTGTTTGCTGTGTATTGCCTTCTCTCAAATGAGAGACTGGAGAGATCTCTTCAAAATTGCTCTCTGGTTTTGCTGACCATGAAATAAGAGTAMTATTCAAGCAATAACAACCATTAAGAATGATGCACAAAAATGAAGACTTTTTTTTTTTTATGACCCACAACTGGCTTCATTCAAATTCTCCATCTGGGAGGGCAGCTTGTGACATTGTCAACACAAGAACACGGGCAATGCCAATGGTATTTTTCTGCCAGCCAGCTGGTTCCCTTCTCCCTGAGACTGAGTGCATATGTTCTGATGATCACACACGAGAACAGTTTTGCAAGTAAGGAGTTACACCAAACTCCCAAACGCAGGTCTTCTGGCTAGCAGCTAAACAAACTCCTGTCACACCTCTAGTCAGCTTTTCTTTTGRGACATTTCCTACCGACCCATACATGCCATAGTGCCTAATTTATTCTCCTGAGCAGTTGCTCAAAGGAAAAAAAGTTGGGAAAAAAATAAAATAAAAAATCACAGTTTCTAAAACTGGGACAGACTCAGAAAGACATTTCTGTACTCATTATTCATGGACAACCAAAAAAACACATAGGGGAATATTATGGCTAGTTTTCAAAGCAACCTTTATATTTTCTGTAATTTTATATATATTTTTTTTAAGCAGGCTCCAACTGGCTTCTATTTTTAAACTGCATGTTCATTATGTCAGCAAATGTTATACCAAATATACATTTTCAAATTTCACAGTCACATCTACAGAAGGRATGCATGTATTTAGCCCATGTAATTTATTTATAAAATGATGCAAGAARTTTAATGTATTGGCAAGCGATTGCCTGCAAAGCAAGGCATAAGGAAGGACAGCATGTTACATCACCTGGCAACCTGTCTCTCAAGCTTAATAACAAAAATAAAATAACAAAATTTAATAGAAATGGAATTGTAATAAAATAATGATAGAATAAAACCAATGAAAATAAGCACAGTGAAATGGRAAAATTGCATCTCAGAACACAAATCAGTGCTGGGATGCTCACRGTCACAATATGGCTACAAATGTAGGCTTGGAGGACAGGCAGCACATACAAAATTCTCTTTTCCTCAGTGCAGCATCAGCCATTTCAAAAGGCTATTTTCACCCTACAGAAACACACACACACAACCCACAGTTACGGACAATTGTGTTTCCTCTTGTAACTAGAATCTTTAGTTTACATAAGCTTCCTTAGGCTGTAAAGTCCACATTTTCTACTTTTTCAAACTATCCATTTGAGACACAGTGGGATAAGGAGACTTAAATTAACAGCAGCAACAAATCTGCTTTTCCAGCTCTTTGATAAATGACACGATCAATATCCCAACAACTGATCAGTAACCAACCTAATTCAAGTATTCAACTTATAAAACATAGCTGTCATGGAAGACCTCCATTAGTGTCCTGCCCAATAAAAACAATAATGCATTTCTAAACATATTCTCCTTCTGCCAAGCTGAGATGCAGTGTTTGGGTGGCTGTTTTGGGGAAGGGAAAGAACGGGCAACAACCCATYTCTGCTACAGTTTCCAGACTCAAATGGAATTACAATTGAACGCAAAGACTACCCTATAAAAATTAATTCCTGTCTAAAATGAATTTGATTCAATCAAGACCTCATTATGCATTCTTCATAGGGCATGAGTCAAGACTATTTACCTCCTTCATACATCTGGATAATATTCAAAACTATACACTTTACTATAAAAAGCAGGCTCATACTTTTACTAGGTCAATCTGTTGTATGATTGGAAGCCTTTTTAAAAGAAATGGCTTTTGTTAAATAGAGAAAACTGACAGGACTGAATTTTCTTTGAAAGTGAGCTTTCTTATACCCCAAAAGTGCACAATAAATATATTTAATAATTCTTCCTTRCAGCAGGATGCTGTTATACATAAAAGGAAAGCAAAATGTGTTTTCCTCTAACATATTCYGGAACTGCTATGGATACTTTTCATATTTTCCTGGTACAATTGACAACATGAGGCTTTTGCAAAGTGTCCACCCAACAAAGTTAGAGCACGATGTTTGGGAAGTAAAGTATTTCTAAATCTATTTCTCAATCAATAAATGATGGTAGAAAATTAAATAGAAAATTATCACAAAAATATTTCAGAGTCAATTAAATTGCAAGACACCTGCATCTTCTTCCTCCCTCTGGTATTTCATGCAAATATACCCACAAATATGACTGTTTGTAACATTTTAAAATGTTACAGTAATGCTTATTAAATAAGAAGTTTGAAATTACACCTTGGAATTCTATAATGAGATTTATTACAGCCTTTTACACCTGAAATCCATTTGWATGTACTTTTATTTAAAAGAAMTCTTACATTTTAAAACTTWAAAAAATATTTACTCAAGGGTTAAAATTAAAATGGGGGGGAATAGAAAAGGCAGTCAGTGTACATGTATATTATTTATGTAAAGATGAGAAAGGAGTSTGCATATGTGTGTGCATGCATAAATGAAAGAGGAAGTAAGGACGATTGTAAAACCAATMATTTTCAAAATAAGAGGTGACTGGCAAACATCAATTTATATGATGTCCAGAAAACATATTAGTTAAAAAAATACCTTTTCTTATTTTGTTACCTTACTTAAATAGATTTTATATTGATCAACTCAGAAACCCAACCCATCCTGAAGAGATCTTCATCTGACCAGGAAAAGTAAAATATTTAATTTCTTGAATGTCAAAAAGAAAAAAGAAAAAAAAAAAGCAAGACAGGTTCAGAAAAACACACTTAAAGTAAGATAAATTAAGTACTAACCAGAAAAAAGAAGAGTAAAGTAAAATCCTACTCACACTAAGATACTAAAGTCTCCGATTATAACAACAAACAAAATCAAAATAATTAAAATTGCCTGTAACCCCACCAACTGCCTTGAGGAGGCAGCAGACAGTCAAAACTACATCAATATATTAATCTTAAATTAACCTTTTTGAGGATTTAGGAATCAAATTTGCTTTTGTTCTAATACTTGTCAAATCAAAATAAGAGGCAACTGTTAGCCTAGTCTCAACAAGAACAGCAAGACCAGGAGATCTCAACCAGAAACATTTTGAGAGCTCTCCCTCCAGGAGAATGAATTCTGTCAGGAGCATTTCTTTGACCAAGACTTCAACCATCATCTCTTCACACAAAACCACTGGGAGTGGAAGGACATTTATCCCAAAGATGCATGTGCTGCCTCACCTCTGTGTGCACCTCCAGCCTGCGGAGAACCACCAGCTGGATCCTGCCCCGAATGTTCCCCTCCATGGACATGGAGCGCCTSAGGGTTTCCATGGCCTCGTGGTTTGACCTGCCCAGGAGGGACTCCCCGTTCACTGCAACCAGCTGGTCATTGACTCGCAAACGGCCGTCCTGCAAGCAAAAAATGAGAAGAAAACTCAAATAAAGACAAACAAACAAAAAAAAAAAAGTAAGAATTATTAAGCAGAGGTGCTTCATATGGGAAAACAAGATGCAGAAAATCAGACATTGCTCCTATAACTTAATAAATAAGAGACTGGACAGCATAAATAATAACTTTGTGTCCAGTTATTGGAAGTACTTTTCCTCTATCACAATTTGGAAAGMGTTCATAAAGCAAATACAAACATAGAAGTGCACGCACAGACCTCTGTTTTTCTGCATTTGCGGTTTAGTTTACATCAATTAAAAAAATCCCAAACCCAAACACGCAAAACCAAAATAATACCAATGACAAAAAAACCCCAAACCCATCCTGCCCTCCCTACCCCCCTCCAAAAAAGGAAATGAAGCTTTTTACTAGTTAAAAGGGCCTAGGCCATAATAATTAGTATCCACACTGTAACCACAAAGGMGTACTACAACCTATTTTCCAGGCATTAACACCTGCTATTAAGATCTGGTAAGAAAGAACTCCAAAAATTTTATCTTACAATCTTACAGTGTCTATTTTGTCACAATTCCCATGCCATCACATCAGCCAGCATCCTCTGTACAGAATGATCACTAAGACTTAAGTGTCCTTACTAATTAATGCTGTCCCTATATTACAACATCCAAAACTGCTGCCAATTACAAAATTAGGGTTGAGCCATATCAGGTAACCTATGCTTTGAAGAAATAATTCAGCTTCATTTGTCATGGTTGACTGACATTTGTGGRTGTAATAAAATTATGGACACTGCTGTTTTGTGATTTAGGAGTCCTACTGCTGTTGTCATTATGATCTGTGATGTTTTTTTTCATAAAAGAATGTGCCATGGACTTYCCTCTCTTGAACAAGAAAACAAGGTTCGTTGCATTGAGACACAGGAATTTCTTTTAAAGCTTGTCAAGTTCACAATTATCAGGCTGGCATCAGACCATAAACAAGGAGGAGAAAGAGGAAGGAACTGGAGACATCTGATACAAGGCAGTGAATAAATAGTAACAGGGAAAGATCTTGCACAGAAATGCAGTGCTTGGTTAAAATGAGTCTGACTCATTCACAGGCTCCTCATAAACTCTTCACAAGGCACTCATCCGAACTGTTTACATAGTTCATGCATCTGCGCATTACAAAGTATATATACTATCTGATTTCTATTGTTTTCTGTAACTAAGATGTTCAAGTAACTATTCTGCTATTGCTGCCAAGTCTAAGTAATTTTTGAGTGAGTTACAGTAGCTGTGGCACACTCAGCTTTATTAAGTGTTATTTTTGTTGGAACTGAGCATCATCACTACCATRCCAGAGTACAGATAACCACAAAGCTAAAGTAAAAACAGAATCCAAAATAAACTGGGATGGACAAAAAGATGGAAAGAAAGAATTAGTAGATGAGTCACAAAGTGAAGGAAAATGAAGAGAAATAAAAATTTTCTCCGGAGGGTGTGGGAACAGAGGATAGAAAACAGAGATGCCATTTGGAAGAGATACTGAAACCTCTCCCTTCTGCTGAATATTTTATGCCAACTTAGATGTACACAGAGCCAAAATGAATAAGTTAACCCCACACTTTCTCTACATACAAACGATGCCATCACAAGTGCTGAAGTTTAGGGAGACAAGTTAACACTGTTGAACTGAAAATTTTATTATTTCAATGTGTTGTAATTCCTTTGTGTTCTATCAAAATTTGCTGAAATGAATGGAGCTATTCAGAGCAACAGGAGTTTGAGCAAAAAATATTTTCTGTTTTTGTGACTTTCTGTAAGACTTCTAAAATTTTACAGGTCCTCATGTCCTCCCCTATGGTCCCACATTTTCTTGGATTACTGTTTTTCATTTCTGGAAAAAAACCACTATGAATAAATATCTGTTAAAAATTCTTTCTAAAGTATATACAAATACGATGCCAAATGCATCTTGTCACGACTACATCTGTTAAGTATGCAACTGTCCTGAACACAGCACGCATTTTAAAATGAATCACTGAGCCTCAGAAAGTGCTGTATTAGCCTGATTTTTAAYTTTCCTAGTAATATTTTTGTATGACACTTTATATTTATTTATATTTTGATAACATTAGTTCTTAAAGGGCTTCTTTTGATGCATCCTCCCTTCTTCCCACTCTGTTATGTGCAACACTTAAATGAAAAATTCAACTTGAATTCAACACTTCAACTGTGAATCAAAAAGATGTGCATCATTTAAAAATGTTGATCAACCACACTTGCTAAGTCACTGGTACAAAACAGCTGGAAGATGGCTGAATGCTGTTTTCACATGGTAGGTAGAAGTTACTTAAACCTTTTGCCTTTTTAGAGACCAGGAAAAAAAATCCCAATGTCTARGCAGTTTCCAAACACAGTTTTTCAAATCTCTTGTGTTATGGCCTGGTTTGGAAGCCTGAACTGMAAGAAAATCTGCTTGGCTCTAAACAAGCTAAATGTTGTTTTAACACGTTTCTTCTTTCATGTCTGAGAGGTAGGTTTCTTTGTGGCTTTTGAGTAGAAAAACAACATTTGGCATTTCAGCAGAACAGTTTTCAAATGCCATCTCTGGAACTGCGAGTGAGCTATTCTAATAGAGGGTGATGTTATTCTTCCTTCCCTCACTGATTCAAAAAATGCTGGGTTTTTTATGGARACTCACAGTAAGGCGTGGAATCTACCACCACATGGCTGCCATATCCTTCCCAGTCATTCACAACACTCCCACATTTGACAGTAGAGCAGGAAAATAAAATGCCATGATCTTCAAGGATTTATGTTTTTAATCAAGGCACAATAAGCTATTTCCCTTATCACAYCAATGACATTTCTGGCAGAAATTCCCTGATGGCATTAATTGGAATTATCCAATTTCCCCATCCATTGCACACGAAGAGCAATGTTTGCTGCMACAGCCCTCGGAAGGACCAAGGACTTTCAAGCTACACCATGTTTGAGTTGAACAAATGCACACATAGAAAATACTCCATTATTTCCTGCACTGACTCTGTTTAATTTCAGTTGCAGTGGGCAGCAAGTACCTGATCTCAGGAAGGCATCATAAGTGAAAAGCCAAGATGTYTAGAGGGGAACTAGGGAAATCCCTGAAATTATGAGGGAAAGATGATGCTTTTAAACTCAGTCAAATGTCAGTTTTCTTCACATGAAAGRCTCTGCATAATTACAGATATCAGGTATCCCAGTAACCTCTTTATCTTTGGGATGYTAAAACATAGATACTGCAAAAATTACAAAGGTTAAGAAGGGACATAACGGTTCACTCAGCAAAAGCAACTGRTTTTATTCCTGCAGCATACAGCATTAGAATATAAACCTGGAACTTCTAAGGCATTTTTATTCTGTTTGATTTTGTAGGCAGAGCAGTAAATAGGACTGAGCCTTACTGTAGSATGTATGATGACATTTTTTAAAACCTTTGGCTAGGACAAAAAAATTSATAAAATATAGAATTAAAGTCTTAAAATTTCCATTTTAAAAAATCCCTTACAGTACTTTGCAATGCCACTAACACATTAGATTGATGTGCTAATGTATCAAAAAACTTTAAAATGTTTGCCTCTCCTCAGACCTTGATTCAAGTCAACAGTGAGTAAAAATAACGAAACAAAATGGTCTGCACCTCATAGTTTACTCTCCATTCTAAAAAACACATGGGTAAAAGAAATTTAATGTATCAAAAGCTTTATACAGCATTAGAAAGATGGAACATTTAGTTTAGCAGTGAAACAAATGTGTTGAAATTCTATGCATTACATAYCTTCTTCTGAGGACAAGCAGTGACTGCATACACAAGGGGATAAAGTTACCACTTCTGTTAACATGAGACATCAAAATAAAAAAAAATCAAATTCTAAATGCAGAAGTGAGAAATAGAGAGAGAATTCTCATGTCATTGAGCATTAYGATTTCCTCCAGTGACAGTTTCCCAAGAAAATACTGTACACWGAAAAGCAAATGCACATGTCTTAATCCATAATAATCCATTTCAGAGAGTAACAATGAATAACATGGGAAAATGCTCTGGACARCTACCAGCTGGAAAGAATGGATTTTTATTTCAAAACTTGCCCTRAGAAGAGATTTAAAATAAGGACAATAGGACATCTTTAAATATTTATGCACAAATATGTGAACACTTTTAAACCTTATACAAGAAATTTTATTAATTGTTAATACCCACTGATTAGGCTATGGTCTATATAAAGGTCATTAGACAGAAGAAAGACAGCTGTTCTCCATGYATTACACCACAGTAGACTGTGAGTGTAAAAACATTGCCAAAATGACTGCATTCTGTGAGTGCTTGCACACAATACATGGAAAACAGCTCTGGTTGAAGCCAAAGCCTCAGCTATCCCTCAACAGCCCTGGAGCCTGCATTCAGATCCATCACACAGCACAGATCTAACTGGTGAAAGGGTCACAATGAGGTACAACAGRGAAGGGGTCACAGAACCACAGGCAATCACAAGACAAAATAATCTCCCAGTCATGGGGATGAACTCTGCCTATCTGCTTAGGGGTGAGCACAGAGGGCTGACTTCAGTAGGCTGCAGACATCTCAAGCCAAAATGAACTGCTCTGGAGTGAGTCACTGTGGGGGAACACAGAGAAGCAAAAACCCTAGAAAAGGTTGTSTTAGGTGTCTGTGAGGTGACGAGTCAGGCAGCCAGGCCACTGACACTGAGAGAATATGGMTCCACAGCTTGGCTGTTCAAAAGAAGGAGTTCATCTGTGGCAATACACTGTCACTGCAACTGGTGTGGACAATTACTCAGGGACATGGAGCTGGGAAAACAGAGGGCAGCCTCATTTCCACAGTAAAATGAGTCTCTGCAGCAGACATGTACATAAATTGAGTTTATCCAGCCCTAATTTGGCCAAATGTGTGTTAACTCAGTTCCAGCATACGCCAAGCAGATGAAGATCCAAGCTTTGAAATAACTGATTGACTAGGACAGGTAAATAACAGAAGCAGGGAACTATTAAACATTCTCATGAAAGCTAAAACCTTGATTATTGCTGTTTACTAGCTGCTGTAAATAGATGATCATAAAGTTTTAATGCTGTGAATTGTCTTACTCAGCAGGCTGATGTCAGTAGAGCAATTTACATAATGCTGAATTAAAAGGTATTTTTACARAAAAGAGARCTGCAAGGAATKGCTGAGATAAAAGACAAAAATGACATCACGGTTCTACAAGTGTTAAACCTACTAGCTCGGAAAGACTAAGTAATTTGTTTCCAATTCAAAGAAGTTACCTTTTCCAAGTTTTATTTGGGGGGAAAAAGGCAGTCAACAGATTTACTAAAGATTAGAAAATAATTCAAATATTTTTCATCATAAAAGATACAACAGTCTTTGTACAGTGCTTAGAGAGAGCAGAAAATTCACAATACTGTCATTTACCACTTTAATATTTCCAATTCAATCTACTCCAGGAACAAGTGATAACTCCAGCACAACTGATGTCAAGCTCAGCTAAGACACATTTTTAGTACTGTGATAAAAAAATATTTTGAATAAAAAAGAAGAAAACTATGAGAATTCTTTATTTACAGGAAGAGTGCAGGTATCAGCTTCTTTGTCACTGAGCCGATCAAACTCTTCCCTTTCTGTCGGCCGTGGGGAAGCTGGAAGGCAGCCTCAACTCATACCTACTCATTGTTACCCTTCTTCCCCTTCCCCATTTCCTGCTGCATCCAAATGTTCCTGAAGGTTTGCACCGATTCTCTTTCACTTTGGCAAACCCTGCCACACACCACCCCAGAAACCATGGGACAAAATGTTCGATTTGGAGTTCACCCAAAGGAATGAGCGACAAAGGTATTCATTCCTAGAATGCTTCTCAAGTGACATTCAGCACTCAACAAGTGTTCCAACAGACAGAACTCTAACACATTCATCTCCAGATGTGTTTCTTCCATACCTTAAAAGCAGCACCTCCGTGAATAACAGATTTGATGAAAATCCCAAGATCAGCTCCAGTCTCCCGAGATTTGTTGCCTTTCAAGCTCACACCAAGTCCAGCAGAGCCAGAATCATTCAGAGGAATCTCAAAGGTCAGCTGCTCTGTGGTTTCTGGAGAAAAAATACTGCAGTTTGGCTCTCCTTTCTGTTGGAGAAAACAAGGATGAAAATAGGGGTGAAAAGTCAGCATGAGTTGTATCCACAGATTTGTGCGGCAAGAAATAGTCCTCTTTTCCAGAAAGTAGCTTGAAGAAACAGCCTTATAACCAACAGTCCATTTAGCTGACATTTTGTCCTGAGATCTGGCTTAAAATGTTATTTTTAATGATACCTGGGAATATGCTTAAATAGAAGGTAAAATAGCTTAGTTCCACATGATATAAAACTGATATTGCAAGAGAATGTAAAAAAGACATTTATACACAGCTACATTAAAAATGTAAGCCATAAAACTCTCAACATCTTTACATGCAGCTCACAAACKATAATGGTAGTTGTACTGTTAAATCCCATTCCCCTTTGAAAATTGAGTTTCATCCTTAAAAAATTATCCTTCCCTTAAACCTGTCTGCAGAGGAAAGCTGGTGTAACAAAAGCGAAGGTGAAAATTGAAAGCAGAGTAACTCCACTAACTCCATTTGTACATACTTTTATTCCATAGAGGTTTGATTGTTCTTTTTTTCTTTCTGGTATAGGTTAATCCCAGGATTTTCTCTAGATTGGAATGCTGTTTACAAGACTGCCAAGTCAAGCATCCACAGCTATGGAAGATCAGAAAGAACTTTCTTTTATTGTACATTTTATCTGCAGTGTTCTAGGGTTGTCTGTTGCCAGGCAGGGGGGAAGGGGGTATGGTTGGTTGTCTTTTTTAAAGCAGATTAGAATCATAAAATTAAACAAAATCAAATTTTTGCCTGAAGTATTTATCTTGGCACACCTCAAAAATGAAATGAGGACAAGGAGACCTATTATGGAATAAAGTGTTCATGGAAGGTATTAATGGAAATGACCTTATGCAACACATTTGATTTTATTYCACTTTCCATTCTCCATATAAGTCTAAGACAATTAGCTTTTATTTCTTGTCATTTGGAGGTTTTCTATTTTTTTAAACATTAGTATTAAAAAATTAATAGGAAAAAAACTATGAAAAGGAAGCACACAGACAAGTTGAAAGATGACTGGCTGCTGCTTTCAAGGGTGTCAGAATCTTACATTAAATTATCAAGTGGAGGCCACATGCARGGAGGATGGAGTAGCTGGGCCAATCCTGCTCTCATCTAATGAGGGATCACTTCCAGGGCCTAACCTGCAGTGTCAAYGCAATTGTCAGCAAAGATGCCAGGAGTGCAGATGCTTCCTCAGCAGCCAGGGCACACCTGTGCATTCAGGTATCATGCTGTCTGATCAACAAAAGCATGGCCCCAGAACTAAGTGCAGAAATTAATGTCCTGAAGAAACAGTAGCCCCAAGTATACTTTCACTTATTTCAGATGCCCTTTCACTGACCAGAAGCAACCACTGGCTAGRGAGGAATCACAGCCAGGAAAACAGGATTATAAATCTCAATCCCCACAAGCACCATGTTTAAATTTTTCCTGGAATGTAACTACATGTTATTAAAGTCAATACAATTTGCCTAACTGCCAAACAAAAAAATGACATAGCACGAACATTGACAGTTGTCTTGATACCAGCATTYATCTCMAGYACCTGYGTTACTYGTTTGTGCTTCTGTTTTTGTTCACYARGAATAWARRATTCTCAGTTACACATCTGTCACTTCTTAGCTTTGGATATAGACATCCTGAATACAACCCCCCAAGATCCATAAATTTGCAACAACTGTGAACAATACAGAATGATAACTTGCGAACATTCCTCCTCTGACTTTAGAAGAACAAGCGTAAGGCAAAAACCTACTACTGGCCTTCTAAAACGACCACTTTGTGTTTAACTTTCTCAAGATTTGAAAGAAAATATTTTCTGTCCAAACTTTTTTTTTTTTTTTTTTTTTTTTTTTTTTAATTTGCACATATTCTCATCAGATGATTCAAAACTCTTAGATCAGAACTCTACTCAAATGGCACATCCTGTCAAGACTTGGATGGAAGAAATTCTTCTCAGGGTCTCAGACATGTAATGACTCCTGCCTCTMGGACAGGACTGGCTGTTACTTTCCTGGGCCCCTAGGTAAACAGTTCCTGTGTGCTTCTGCTGTTCTTCCACTTTAATCCATGCCATCTGCACCAGACTTGCCCCTTCTCTRCATCAATATTGTGGTTTTGTCTTTYCCCATACCATGAGAAAAGCAGTAAGGGGGCTGTTACCATAGGACACAAAAGCCCCCTGTGGTCATGCCTGTCTTAACCAGAGGAGTCACAAATTGCTTTACAGTGATACCTCAGTTCAAACTTGGACTTCACATAAAGCTCAGTGTGATCACCCACCAGAGTTGCTCAACATTCTGTATTTCCCAGCTTCCTTTAACATAATTATGCTGTGTGTTACCCATTGTTAAGTAACCTACYGCATCACTCTATGGATGCCTGGATGTGTTCAGCTGGACACCACACAAGTACAGCAAGTTTTTGTCAGTATTTAATTTCCTATGTTTTCCTTAGTACCTTTAATATAGAATATTTTAACATTTGTCAACATTTTCCTTGCTACAATTCTCTGTCAAAGAGATAAACATCCGCAAATTTAATTTAAGCTGCTTTTACCTATTATTGGACAACTCTCTAATATTTTTTAAAGTCCTTCATAAGTTTCTTGTTCAACATAGTCCAATCACCTTAAGCATCTCTTCTTTTAATTGCTTATATTCAGCTTCATCCAAAGATCCAACAAAAGCTGATTTTAAAATAATTAACTTTGTCTAATAGTACTACCAAAAATGTGTTACCCATGATGGAGGCAGAATGATAATTCAAGGATTTCAAAGGGATAGGTAAGAGGAAAGRAGATGCATATATACAAGTCAGTGATAAAGTCTGTAATTTACCACTAGCAAGTAAAACTCTGTCTTTACTCCCCTAAAAGTTTCCTCYGCTACTCATTGTATGGCATCTGACAGTAAATTCCTGGTAGTTAGTCTACAACATCAAGACTATTTGGTGCAAGATTGAAATACAAATACAAGATTGAAATATTACAAGATTGAAAACTTACTTGTGGGAGGATGTAAGAAGCAAAAGAAAGGAGGAAAAGCAGAGGAGAAAAWAAGGGATGAACAAAACCTAGAACCCTGATATCATCCTATAGTTTTCGAGTGTTTACAAATTATTACCCTGATCATGAGGTGCTTTCCAAGCAACATCTTTTCAATGAYGACAAAAAGAGCTCCAGAGATCCTTAAGTTAACAGCTCATCAATTAACTGCTTCATTTAGGCAACCAATTTMAAGAATGATGGTCTCTGTTCCTAGAATATGCAGGTATGAATATTAAATGCTGATAGTGACTCACAGAGCTGGATTCCTACCGCTTCTATTTCCATGACTTCGCTAAAACATTATCTCAAGACATCAATACTTTACAACATAGCAAACACCATCAACTGAATTATGGTCTGGTAAAGGAAACCCTCTCCAATGCACTAAAMCTTGAATTCTATTAGAAAAAATTCTTACCTCAAGATCATCCTAGAATCTGAACTCACTCAAACACAGAATGAATGAAACCAGCTGCAACACAAATCCACTTCTAGCCTGGAAAAAACTTGCAGCTTTATATTATAAATTACCCAACCAACAACCACATCACGTATTTTCCATAATAAATGTATCATACCCCAGCAGTTCAGGAATTAAATGGTAGTATATCACTGATGCTATTCCCTACTGCAGACATAAGAAAGTAATTCAATTGTAGTAGGATAAACAAGAAATCTTCTCATGAATCAAAGTCTAGAAAGCCAAGTGGTGATTGCTCAGGATGGTTAGAGCTTTGACATGGCCTGGCYTGTACTTTTCACACAGCCCCAGAGTGGGCAAGATTGGAAGGGAGCAGAGTGGGTCATTGGGCCCAATTCCCCTGCTCAAGCAGGGTCACCCTGGAGTACATGGTCCAGGTGGCTCCTGAATATCTCTAGTGAGAGAGACTCCACAACCGTGAGCTCCCTCAACCTTTCTTCATAACAGAGATGCTCCAGTTCCTCAATGATCTTTATTGCCATCCTCTGGACTCACTCCAGGAGCTCTATGTCCCTCTTGTGTTGAGAAGCACAGAACTGSACACAACACTCCAGATGTGCCTCACTAGGTGTCTTGGGTTGACTTTGTGCCAATCCTGTATTCCTMTATTCCGTCAGCTTGTATGCCCAAAATGTCTCTGTGCCTTCAAATCTGACCTGGAAGAAGAGGCAGGGACGGTGCAGGCAGTTTAAAAGCCGGGGCTACTGCGCAGCCATCGGCTTTTGCCCCTCAGCTCGGGGCTGCAGAAGGTCTGCTCACTGCGTGCAGGGGAGTTACGCTGTTGCCGTTTAGCTAGCTCGGGTTTGATAGCTTGGGCAGTTTTTCCTGGACTGCCACCCTCCTCTGCGGCTCCTATGATTTTCTTCTGGAGCAATTTGGCAGCTGGTGGGGACAAGCGGCGTGGCTCTGTCTTGTCCCAGACTCCGGAAGAAGTGATGTCGGCACTTGGTGTGAAAAGCACACCAAGCCCTCTGTTTCATCCACAGTGAGGAGGGGACTGTCATCAGTTTTTTTCCACTGTAGCCAGAGCGGTCACATGCACTTTTGTTTTTGTTTTTGTTTCTTTTTGCCCTGGAGAGAGGAGCCGTCATCTTTTTTTTCCGCACCACRTGGCCAAGCGGCTGTGTGGGGAGGGGGCGATGTGTGTTCATGGACTTTTAAATATCTAACAGTTACTTTTTAATCTGTGTCCTGTGGGCACTGTGTTTTGTTAATAAATTTCTTCATTTTTCTCTTCACTTTTTCCTGAACATCTATTTCATATTGGTGTGAAAAAAATTATCATTATCATTATCATTTTTTTTTCACTTCAGAGGAAACATTTACTCCATAACATTTTTCTCTGAAAACWTTGTCTCAAACCAAGACACCAGGACTGAGCAGAGGGGCAGGATCACCTCCCTTGACCCRCTGGCAGTGCTCTTCCTACTGCACCTCAGGATCCTATT